GAGAACAAAGTCAAGGAAGTGTCACCATCTTGGTGACGTCACTCTGGAATTTATTTTTGAATACATGTTCAGTAGATGTTAAGCTTTATTGTCCACCAAATATATTGCCATTTGCAGGGACCTAGCAAGAAGTGAAACCTATCTTTCCTAACACATTATGCTCAGCACCAAACTAATTCTACAATCAGGAAAGACAATGGGACACCAGTTTTGATATTAAAGACACTGAACTTTGCTTGCTTTGCTTTTGTAACCCAAATATTACATCCTCAATTGCTTCAGGAGAATCAAGGCATCCTTATTTCTACAACACTTTTTTCCTACCACCTAACCCAGCTACTAGCACATATTAGGTTATTCATAAATATTTATTGAATAACTGGGAAATAAGGCCACCAATTGTTAGTGCTATTTTGACAATTTACCCAGATTACTAGGTTCAAGTATTCTCAAGTCTCTTTTCCACAGAGCCTTTCAATCATATTTCAAATAATTTTTAAAAGGCACAATATCTGAAATTCCCTCTGTACATCTAGCCCTGCCTATAAATGACTTGGCAAGATGCAGATATTTTCCCTCTGCCTTATGATTCAGCCTTTTCAACATCTTTACATTTTCTCCAGGTATTTCCTCTACTGCAAGCTTCAAGTAGATGGGACTTGTTTTACTTAAAACAGCAGACCCGGGTGGCTTGTCCTGTTACTTCCCACTGAGTAAATAACACTGATCATTCATTTCATCCCTCACAGAGAACTTTGGGAGAGGGGAAAAAAAAAAAAAGCTCCAGTTAATCATTAAAATGAGTTTTACACCATTTAGGTGAATCTAAATTGTGTCTCTCTTTTTTTTTCTTTTTTGTCATCAGTCTGTTAACTTGTCAGTTATTAGTGGCGATGGTAATTTATTTTCCTTCTGCGTGAGTCTTAGAGCTTCCACCTACTAGATTTAGTAAAACAAGAATAGTCACTTTATACAAACATTTTAATTAATTTTAAATAGTAGCTTGAATGCAGTGTGCTGCTCCTGTAAGCCTTAGAAAGAGGAGAGAGGCAGGGACATAAAACACGCCACATGTGATTCCAGAACCACCTCCCACCCACAACCAGAGAAGATTAGGGGAAGAAGATGAGCTCTTTCCATTAGTATTATTTGAAAATCTTATGGGGGAGGTGGTGGTGGTGTGTGTGTGTGTGTGTGTGAGTGCATGTGCCCATGCATGTGTACATCTGAGACATACTGCATTTTTAGTGTTATTAACCCTTGCGTCCATTTGGAGACTCAGTTTGGAATTTCCAGAGGGAACATCTGTTCATCGTAAACCGTGTGTCAGCTACTGAGTCCTTGCACACGTAATCACACTTAATGCTCCCTCAACTCAAAGACAATATTTTGAAGGTAAACTTGGGTCTCAGAGAAATGCAGTAATCTGACCAAAATCCCGAAACTGGTCCATGACAGGCCAGATTTTAAAGCCAGATCTTTATGACACCAAAATCCTTGCTCTTTCCAATTCTGTTCTATGTTACCTCTGGGCAGGGTGTGTGGAGTCAGGAGTTGTTTGTCCTATAACCTGTCAGAAAAAAAATCATGTAGATTTAGTGATAGTAAAAATACAAGAAGAGTTATGAATACAAAAGAGGTCCCCACTTCACATTCAGCCTCTCAAATGAGGATCAGGCTGAGCCTTACATACTGTGAGGCTCTGGGTTGAGTTATGTCTGAGAATGAGTCAGTTACTCCTGAAGGATGGTGCTCTCCGTGCAGGTCAGCCCAGCGACCACTAGAAGGCTCGCTTCTGGCTTTTGTACTCTGCCCCAATGGCAAATGGATTACTAGAGAAATTCATTCCTCTTTAAGCGGCTTCCACTTTTTTTTTTTAAAGATTTTATTTATTTATTTGACAGAGAAAGAGACACAAACGAGAGAGAGAACACAAGCAGGGGGAGTGGGATAAAAAAAAGATTTTATTTATTTGACAGAGAGAGACAACAGCGAGAGAGGGAACACAAGCAGGGGGAGTGGGAGAGGGAGAAGCAGGCTTCCCGCTGAGCAGGGAGCCCGATGTGGGGCTCGATCCCAGGACCCTGGGATCATGACCTGAGCCGAAGGCAGATGCTTAATGACTGAGCCACCCAGGAGCCCCTGCTTCTACTTTTTTTATGTGGCATCAGCCAAGCCCATCCAGTGCCCCGCTTTCCAGAGAACACCACAGAGTTTTGCATTTGTTACCACACTCCTGGTGAGCACACAGCAAATATATTGAAAGAAGGCTGCATTTAGAATGTGGAGAATTCTCTGACCTCACTATTCTCCATTTTTTCCCCCCTGAGTATTTTAAGTAGGTCACATTTTAAATTTGATTTCCCAGGCACCTGGTTTTAAATAAAATCCATTCTTACCTTTTAGACAATCCTTTTTTTTTTTTTCGCCACATGGAGTTTATGCAGAAGAAAAATAGTTTCAATATGAATAAATATTATAACTGTACTTTATCAATTAATAAAGACAGTACTTATTTGCTCCTTACTTTCTACCCTCTTCTACACTTTGAGAGGAAAGAAGGTGCAGTGGGAGTCCAGTGGTGGTGATTTGATGTAACTTTCTCTGCTGTTCATGGCAGCTTGTCCGATATAGAATCCTCAAGTCAGAAACAGCCTTAGAAGCTCATTTCACTACATGTGTGGCTGCCCTTCTCACTAGTTTCCTATATCAGTGGGCGAGAGAAGTGGGGTAGGAAATGATGCCAATTCTAGTCTTTCCAGTAGAAGAGATACCTTTAATGTTACCTAGATCAGAAATGGAAAGTGGATTTTCTCTCGAATGCCAACTTTGCCTTCTTGCAGGTCTCATCCTGGGCACTGCATTGAAGTTTTTGAGGCCCTGTCTAGGCTCTGGGTGACAAGATGCCATGATCATGCTCACTTGATGAAGTCTGCAGAGGTGCAGGAAGGGAGAATAGTAGCTCGTGTGCACACATTTGCCATTCCTGCCATAGAGCTTAGCATGTTCTGTGAGGCACTGACATGGAACAAATTTACTTTGTCTTCAAAGCCCTCCCAAAACTTGGCAAAAGCCCATACTTTTTCTCATGGTTTTCATATTTGAACAGTCCCTAACCTGAATTTTGGGCACCCTGGGTTCAAAGCTTTCTTCTGCCCTCTCTTAGACCATCAGTATGGGTAGCAACTCTGTCCAGATCTCTGCTTATGTCTCCTGGGGATAGAAATCACGCTCCCTACGTTTAAGGAGAGTCCATCCAAAATTCAATAGGTGGCTTTGATGTTCTCACTTTTGAACTCATTATTTATTGTCCTGTGGTAGATTCAGAAGGATAAGAATTCTACTGGGAATTATACCCTAAATAATTTTCGCAACTGTTGTATTATAAAATGTTTTCAGGGAGGATATCCTTCAATCATATGTCAACTGTTGAGATGTTTTTGTTTCAAGTCAGTTTACAATTAAGTTAAAACATGCACTTCCCCCAGAAAAAGGCACTGTGTGTGCAGCATGAGGTCTACTCCAGAAACTGTTTTGCTTCCACATTTTTCATAAATGTCCTTTTAGCGCTTGCCCATAACCTCCCTATTTGAGGATCTCTAAATATCAGGAACATAGGAGAAATATTTACTTAGGTCAGCATTGATGAATGCAGAGCTGAAAGGAAATCAACAGTGATGAACATGGTCCTGTCCTCAAGGAGTTTACTAGAGCTCTGGGAAATTAGACACTCACAGAAGGGAAGCTAATTATTATAAAAACGAGACAGAAACCTGACAACAGGGGATGATTGATGAGCCAGTGCGGCACCACTGACCGCAGAGTGATCTGATTAGATGTGCCATTGCTTCATAGGACAGGGACACAGCATGGGCTGTATGCACACATGTATATGTGCATTCCAAATCATGCGAGAACCAGGAGTCACTGAAACACCCCTGTTGGTCATTCCTGAAGGTCTCTGAGTGCCAGTTCCCTAGCAGGGAGTCGTATCCTCCTTTTAGGCCCAAATGAGAGACCCAGTTGGAAATTTAGGTTCTTTACAAACGGATTCTGAAACGTAAAGCCCAAAGCCTAAAGGTGACCACTAATAATCCCACTCTTACTCTCTAAAAGGGGTGAATTGGCATGATTAAGGCGAAACTGTTGAATACCATTGGTAATCTCATACCAGACGGTCCTCGCTGATTTTCAGCCTTCTTCCTATCGAGGGATGCCAGAGAGTCCCAGCCGAGACAGGAACTACTAGAGGTTTCCTGTCTTCCGCCTGCCCTCCCCTTCTTGCTCTTTTTTTTTAATAGTCTAGGCATATTTAGTCTATACTTTATTACACATGTCATGCTTTGAGGAAGGCAAAGGTATCCCTTTGTGGTCTAGATAAGGAAACTAAGGCATAAAGAGATTAAGTGTGTCAACCGTGGCCCATCCCTTTCCTTTCTTAATGGACATCAGCTTGTGAGGAATAGGAGCCGTCTAACCAGAGGGTAAAATACTCAGCAAAATGGGATCTGATTCCCCGTGCCACTGATTATTACGATTATTACGTGTGTGTCCCTGTAGCTTTGTCAAGGGTGCAGCTGAAAGTTGGGCCAACCTGCTTTCCAAGGGAGCTCCCCCTCTTTTGAGCTTTGTGACTTTGGCCACCTACCCTGACCAGTCTGTACCTCATGCATAAAATGGGCATCAGGATTCTAGCCTCCACCTCATCAAATAATTACGATGGTTAAGTAATAAATTGCACATAGAGCATTCGATGCTGTGCCTGGCACATAACAAGCATAGACTTGGTGGTCGCTGCTGTTATTAGTAGCATTTTTGTGGTTGTCATTGTGATGGTTACCGTTTATTTGAAGTCGGCTGTGCACCTCCACGACCAGAGTCCCCAGCCTAGAACATTGCAAGGAAAGCTGAAATGCCAGCTGGGCTCTACCTTCTTAGATGGACGCAGCCCTTCAGGCACTCCCCCCTGTGACCTGGTGCTCTGTCTCTGGTTTTTGCAGCTGCCTGCCCTGTCCTGTGCAGTGGGAACGGACAGTATTCTAAAGGGACATGCCAGTGCTACAGCGGCTGGAAAGGAGCCGAGTGTGATGTGCCCATGAATCAGTGCATCGATCCTTCCTGCGGGGGCCACGGCTCCTGCATTGATGGGAACTGTGTGTGCTCAGCTGGCTACAAAGGCGAGCACTGTGAGGAAGGTAAGCGCCGCAGGGCCAGCCTGGGCAGCAGCTGAGGTGGGAGGCGTCTGCAGGCCCAGACTTTCGCTAATGAGCCCAATCCAAGGCTCCGCATTTTGCAAAGGAAACTTCAGTGTTTTGCACAAAGAACTTCAAACACCTTGGCTTTTGTAGACTTCTAAGGCTGTAGAAAACACAGGCCTGTGGAGTGGTTCTGGAAGGAATGCTTTGTTTTACCCTTCTTTATGTTAATTAGCTACTTTTCCTCTTTAAATTGCTTTCTCTGCCTTTGTCTTTCTGCGCTTTGCCTGGAACTCCTCCTCCTCCCCTTCCTGCTCCTTCTTTTCCCTTTTTTTCTTTCTTCCCCTTCTCCTATCTTCCTTCCTCTTTTCTTTGCTTTATTTAAAATCCTCTGATTTGGGAATTACTAAAGCTATCCAGAAAACAAAACAAAACAAAACAAACAAACAAAAAAACCACAAGAATCCTTAATCTCCCTGTCTTCCCTATAGACTTTTTTTTTAACTGTCCCCAGGAATCTAGTGCCCACATATGTCTGTGTACATTTTAGCAAAAATTAATGTCAATAGAAAGCAGTCAGACTTGAAAGATGATAGGCACCCATGTCATTTAGGCACGTTGTAGGTCACATTATCCTGACTACCTAAATCACACAGAATTAGAGGAGGGTGGAGGTGTAACACAGGACTGGAATTTGGTGAATTCTGAAGAACTCAGTATAGCATGCATTGAGGTGGCCTCTGGCACCCATGGGGAAAAGTTAGGGATGTAATCAGCTGAATCCAGTCTGAAAAAACATTATCAGAGATGAGACTTGGTGATCAAGAAGGGGGCATGGAGCGGAGAGTGCAGGGATAAAGAGAGCTCCTCTCCGGATGTGATCAGAAGCCAGCTTCAACTAGTCCTAGTCACTCTGGTTAGTGCTTTCAGAAGAGTTATTTGGTACCAAAGTGCTGGGACATATAAGGCAAGGGAACCCCGCCAAACTGCCTATCAGTCGTCCCCTTCTATATTTGCACTTCCATAGTATGGTCTCCGGTTGTCCATCTATTGTTTCTCTTTATATAAAGTATCAAGCAGAGTTGGTAGGAAGGCAGGAGCCTAGGTGCTGTCTATCCCCGGCCCACTCCCCAGCCTTTGAATTGGCTCAGTTGTTCTTTACCAGCTGAGCAGCTTTCCTCTACTTCAGGTCCCCTGGGCAAACATCCCCATACAACTCAAACAGCCCTTTTCCCTCTCATGTTCCCAATGAAAAAAGAAGTGTCAACTCTCCCAACAAACTAAGGGAAACGGTGAACCCCACAGCCTACCCCATGTGAAACAGCTTGAGGGTACCACTCAGGATGCGCCCTGAGAAAAGACTCTGTTAGGCGCCATATCCTGTGTTCTCTCTCAGCTGCTCACTGCCAAGCTGTAAGAAGGGACCTCAGGTGCTATGAGGTTCTCAGGTGTGAGTGGATCTGACCTCACATCCCATTAAGTTATGGATCTCCAGTGTCCTGTAAAACGTAACCAATCATTAGAGCCTTTACCACGAAGTAATGACAGTAACTTATCCTTAGTAACATACAAAAGTTCCCCTTCTGAAATCTCCCATTTCATAGTTTTTAGAACTCTGGCTACAAAGAGGCCGCTTCCATGACATTATTCTTCTAAGATTTTCCAATACATCAGTGGTAATGCCCTTAATGGGACCCAGAAGTCTGACCCCCAGATTTTCATTTGCTCAACACTCTATATATTTTTTCCTCTATTATAAAAGGTAGCCTCCCTCCATCTGCATCATAAAACCAAATTGGGAGTTTGGATGGAAGAAGGACTGATTTAATAACCCTGCTTGAAAGGTTAAAGTTCTTAAAGATAAATGGATTGCAGAAGGCAAAGCCGCATTTGCCGAAAACATGGGAGAGGCCAATAATATGACAAGAAAGGTTAAAATGACCTTTTACATACATCATTTGGCGAGAACGAAATGATAGAGCAATGACATTGCCCGTCTTAGAATTTTTTCCCTCCAGTAAAGATTGCGCATATCTATATGAGTAGAATTTCAAGTGATTTCTCAACTTTCTTACTCTCCGAACCCGTCCTATTTAAATGTTCCAAATGAATTAACCATCCAACAAAACAAGGAAGCCACGTGGATCATTATGAAAGGATGAAATCTCCTCTATTGATTTCTGCTACCCAAAAAGAATGAACCGAGGTGATTCATATGCTGTTTTCAAAATAGGAAATGGAATCAGAAAGTCTGGATCAGCACTTTTTCTTCCATTTAGCTTTTTTATTTCTGATATTCATCATAGTCATAATGTTCAAACAATTGACCTGAAATGACCATGGCAACGAAATCAATAGTTGCCATCCTCCATTTTTGCTGCATAAACATTGTTGTACTATTAACAAATTTGCACAAGAAAATGAAAGGACGGATTCCCGAGGTTTCATTCAATGATGTCTGGGGGAGTGGGAAGGTGATGAGCGAGGAATTGACATATTAGTTTAAGTCAGCCATGTTTTCATGTCAGTTTCATGGTTGAGTCATTTTTCAATGACATTTAACTTCATAAATGTAATTCATGGTTCTTCAGGGGTTTATAGGACATATTGTTTGTAAAACTCCTTGACCTCTTTTTTTATCCTTAGGGATAGAAATTGCATTCACAACCCTTTTTTGTCAAACCTACAGAGGGCCCAAGACTAAATGAGTTCTAATGATTTCAGCTGCCGGGGGGCTGGTTTTGTAAGGCACATGGTGCTTAGCTGGTAAAGGCCACTGTCCCCCTTTTAAGTATAACACTGTTTCTATTTATAAAGCTTCGTAAAATGCCGTAGTCCCTCCTGCCTGCTGAAGACTCTAAGGATGTAGCCACAAGACCATCTTATGAAATTGGAACCAAATTTAAAATTCATAGTGAAACTGCTCTTCTTGAAGTCTGAATTTAGTTATTCCATCAGCTGCTGTAATTCTGTAGCACAAAGGGCATATTTACTGGTATAACTGAAAGAGTGAGCTCATATTTCTAGACACAATAAATGATTCTTTGGATGACATTCCACTCCTGGGCTAATAAATCCCAGTGGATTTTCCTCCTTTCTTCATATTATAATTTAAGATAGAGAAGAGAAAACTAATTTATCTGGAAGAAAAATGACATTTTCTTTTTGCTTTCTTTGGGGGGGGGTATATTACTTTTTATTTCATCCTATTAAGAAAAAGATTATGATATATTTTTTTGAATTTTTTGAAAGCTCCTAGCTGTTGGCACCTCACCAAACATTTTAAATAGCTAATTATAGATGGAGGGTAATTTTGAGGACACATAGCACATGAGATATCTTTGTGTCTATTTTGATTTTGCTGTATTAGAAAAGGGGACAGAGAAAAAACTACAACTTCGGGATTTTCTACTGTTAGAAGAACATGGACAAGATTGATTCTGAATGAATTAGTTCATATTGTGCAGATCCCAAATTACATAGCATTCCTCCCAAAAGCAAGAAGTTGTTAGCACCATTTCTTTCTTGTCAGTTCTTCATGGACGTTTGTCTCACTAACGACAAATGCTTATAGCAAAGTCCGCCATTCATTTCTGTATCAACTGTGTATTGAACACTTACTATATTTTGTTAGCCAGGCTAAGCATGAGACAGACACCAAAAGCATTGGACGGCCCCTTTGTAAATGTCTTCTATGTGTTTGAAACTTTCGATTCATTTACCTCCAGATGCACTCCGCCATCCTGAGCAAATCTGAAGGTATCAGAAAGGGTTCATATCATGAGAAGTTATAGTCCCCAAGACAATGAATGCAGCCTTAAAGTGATTGCAACCAGAGCAACTAACATCATCATAAACATCTCCAACTAATAATAAATCACTGAAATTCCCCTTTCTGAGAGTGTATTTTTTATTTCTGTTAAATCAGTGGCAGCTTCTGTTTCCCCATGGCTCAAATAGTTTTGAGCTGGTTTTCATAAATAATATCTTCCTGAGAAGATTCGATTGGATCAGCTCAGAAACATCTCCTTACACTGAAAATTCTTATTGTTGCCTCAAGAGAGCAGTGCTCTTTGGAAACTTCATGGAATACTGTGATTTCTAATAAATCCAAATCCCTGAAGTCTGATATCCCCCAAAATGAAATAGTTTGTGGCATGGGTAATCTAAATAATGTCCTGTTTAGAGCCAAGGTATCATCAATTTTTAAACCTACCATTATTCTGTATGCTATAAGAAGAAAAAAAAATTGAGACTATGCTACAAAAAGCTGGGACCTCAAAGGGTTGCCATCTCGGTGTCATGGTGAATTATATAGATGCCAAAAATCTTGCTTGTTTCAATCTTGGCACTGGGCAGAGAGAGAAATCAAAATCTCTGAGGATTAGAACTACAAGATGGCACACATGCACATGAGGGACTCAATTACACCAGCAGTGTGGTCCAAGAAACCTCAAGAAAGGAATTTAAAGTGGTCTCAAGCTAGCTGTGCCCTCAGAAGATGGCAGAAGCAAATGCTTTACTCTAGGCCAAGAGACCTGACTTCCAAGCTGTTAAAATGAGGAAAATGGGTGTCTTAGTTAAATAAGGTGATGAGACCTGCCTATTTCTCTGATCCACAAGATAATATCTGAGCCATCTGCAGGAGCACCATTCGCCATTCAGACCCCCACAGTGTGCAGTGTCCTCTTCTCCAAATGTCTCTGCATCATTTTCTAGGAACACCTGAGGAAGTTGGTCCTCCTCTACAAAGCCCTGTTTGCCCAGCTCTGATCCTGGATAGACATCCAAAGTTTGGGGGCACATTTCCATGCAAAAAGTCCTGTCTTTGAGAACTGGCTTTTGCAGCTCACACCTCTCCTCATCTGAGTTGCTTCTACAGTGAGAATCTTCATGTTACCTACTGGATGCATATCCACTTTGAGTATTAAGATGGCCAAACAATCAGACCATGAAACTGCCAAGAATGACAGTGACCAGAATTCACTCCTCTGACTGACAGTCTGAGAGGGTGTCAGCACCTCGGGCAGAGACTCACCCATTCAGGCCACTCCTGATTATGTATACGACGGTTACCTCTTTGGGATCATTTCCACGCCCAGGTTCACCTCTTCTATCCTGCTCTTTTACTAACTCCTGCAATAGATGTGTATTCGGAGAATGAAACCTAATTTTAGACATAGCCTAAGTGACATTTGATTAGGAAAGTGACTCATTTATGAGTTTCACTGGTTTTCTTTGTAATCCTTTGTTACCTTCTGAAGGCAAGTATTAGTGAAGTTAGAATGAGCCTTCTTTTCCTCTCTGATAGTGAGGGATAATTGGGCTTGGGGATACATGTAGAGATATCACCAGCATTCATGTCCTGGGCTCAGAAGCTCTGATATGATTTATTGAAGGTACTAACGTTTGTAAGTACAAGGTTCTCAGCATTGAATGACACACCTCTATATCTGGTTCCTCCTAACTCTGCTTGAGAAAGCCCCTCTTTCTCTTAACTTCTCTTCAAGTTTGAGATTCAGTGTTTTGACAAATAAAAAAGTCTTGAGTTTTTTATGGGTTGTTCTTCAAGAGACCACGTAAGTATTACCTGGGCTGCTCCGTTTGCCTGCCAGGGGATAGGAGTTGGTGAATTACTGATTTCTAGAGCAGCAAGCTGGCATCTCCTGGCCCATCCCCCATGAGTGATCAATACTCTTCCTCTTTTTGTTTTGTTTTCAGTTGATTGCTTGGATCCCACCTGTTCCAGCCATGGGGTCTGCATAAATGGAGACTGCCTCTGTAGCCCTGGCTGGGGTGGTCTAAACTGTGAGCTGGCAAGGGTCCAATGCCCAGACCAGTGCAGTGGGCATGGCACTTACGTCCCCGACACAGGTCTCTGCAGCTGTGATCCCAACTGGATGGGTCCCGACTGCTCTGTTGGTAAGCCAAGAGGTTTCCTCCTCACTTTTCCCAACACTCAAGCCCCGTGCTCCTTCCATGAGCCCAAATGGGTGGGAATCTACTCTTCACACTTAGCTTGGGATGAAGGGACATAGGCTAATTGCATAGTGCCTTTCTTACTCTCTCTTCCTCAGTCATGGAGTCTGTGATCCTGAGAAACAAACAAACAAACAAAAAACACCACGGGTTCTCGTGCCTCGTTTGTTTCATCACTACAAACGGATGAGGGGCCCGGGAGGGATGCTTCCATTTGCATTATAGGTTTTCTTCTGTACACTCCCTCAAGGTACCAGAAAACAAAACAGAACAATTCAGTCCCAGACAAACTGAATGGAATGTCCTATAAAACAGAAAAGAGGCTCCCTCGGGGTGCCGTGTGAACATGTTATAAAACTCCGCAATACTCCAGTGACAGGAAAATAATGAAGTTGCGCGGTACACTTTATTTTCCTAAAATTAAGAGTATGTGTCTTACCTCCCGAGTGACCCTAAAATGGAAAGGTTCAACAGTTCAAGCCAGTCCCAACCTACCCGAGAATGGTTCCGTTCGCAGTGACAAGTGCCTATCCAAGCAAGCGATCATCATTCCGCCCCCTTCCTCTGGGTAGTGAGACAGCTGTTAGATTGCCATGGCAATCAGGAAGGGAATATATGTGAAGCTTTGCCTACAATGGGAAAGAAATGAATATTTCATTCCAAAAGGAAAAAAAAAGAGTCAGTTAAAATGGGCTATTTTGAGACGTCTTCTCAGCCCACTCGCCTCTGGCTTCAACGCTGATGCGGGGGGTCCAGGCCAAGCTCTGCAGAGGATGGGGGAGGAGGAGCCCTCGATCCAAGGCCCAAGCTTGCTGCCGATACGCTGTGTGACTTCGAGTGAGTCACTGCCCCTCCTGATTGCATTTTCCCTGCCCTGGCACGATGAGCCATGCCTCCCTCAGCAGTCTGTCGTAAGGATGAATGTCTGGCACGTGCTTGTCCTCGAGTGAGAGGTCTGGAATACCAGAGAGCGTATATCTGTCTGTCTGTCTCCTCCCCAAGCACAAAAGACTTTGAGCTCCTTTGAGAAAGAGGCTGTGTAAATGTAGCACGATTAGAGCGGTCTTCATTGCCACAAGGTGCCGATCGGGCTGACGGCTGGGTTTGCAATCACTGTGGGGATGGAGCTGCGGGCTTCCCGAGTGGCCTTTGGTCAGTTCAGGCTCTCAACAGGGTCAAAATCCCAGCTGGCCAGGGAGTCAGGATCCACATGCATCTGTCTGACCTCCGCCTGGGGTGGCCTCGAGCTCTGGAATGGTGGTTCTCACACTCCGGTGCACATCAAAACCACCTGGAGGACTTGGGAAAACAAATTTCTGGGCCCCCCTCCCAGAGTGTCTGATTCAGGAGGTCCAAGCAAGGCCCAAGAATTTGCATTTGTCCCAAGTCCCCAGGGGACCACGATGTTGCTGCTCTAGGGACCTGGCCATGGGAACGGCGGCTCTAGAAGCCATGTAACAGTTCATACCCAGCCCAGTGAAGGCGCAGGCCTCCCCCCCGGGGACACACCTGCTGGGCCGTGGGGCCTGCTCCAGGGACCCAGGCCACGTGTGTGGTCTGGCCTCCAGTGGAGGGTTTTGCCAGCTGTGGTGTTGAGCTGTAATCATTGTTTTTCTTCCAGAAGTGTGCCCAGTAGACTGTGGCACTCACGGCGTCTGCGTCGGGGGAGCCTGCCGCTGTGAAGAGGGCTGGACAGGCGCCGCTTGTGACCAGCGCGTGTGCCATCCCCGCTGCATTGAGCACGGGACCTGTAAGGATGGCAAATGTGAATGCCGAGAGGGCTGGAATGGTGAACACTGCACCATTGGTAGGCAAACGGCAGGCACCGAAACAGGCACATATTGCTTTATTTTCATAAATCGTAGATCTATAGTGATGGTCGTGCATTGCAACGGGCTGTTCCTTCAGGGACACGGGTGCTCTACAACATTCCTGCTGCCTCTCCAAATCTCCGGGGCGCGAGGGAAGGGAAAAGCAAGGTCCCCGACTAGAAAACGCTTTCCCTGCTTTCCAGAACTCCAGATTGGGAGGCAAGGGACAAAACCAGATAAAATCCATTCAAATGACTGATTTGGGGAGGGAGAAATGCACACGCATGGGAAATTGTCAGGACCTGAAGGTTTCAAGCACCCCGTGTGACTGTGGTCTGCAAGTCTCCCCTTTTTGAATACTCTCCCCGCTGGCTGGATCACTGGATCCCGGCTTGCTGGCAACAATTGAACTCACTTATTTTAGACCAGGTTAGATGCAGGCAGGACTCCCACATTTCCTGGGGAGCCAGGGACCACTGGAGGAGGTTTGCGCACCCTCCTGCTGTCCCAAGACAAGACGTCGTCCTTGGGCCCCTGACCCTCCCCATCACTGCCACCACCGTTCAACGGTCATTCCCATGTCATTCTCACTCAGCCACCTTCCTGCTTAAGTTTCTCGACTGAGATTTTTTTTTTTAAGGTCGTTTTCTCTCTTGAGAAGTAATAGTTTCCAGGTTTCTTCAGTTTCGCTTTTGATTGCTTTTTGTCAATGTTGTGGTTCAGGGTAAGACAATACTGGATTGAATGTATCCAGTTATCCCTTTGAGGAGATGGGAGCCAACTGCTCTTTGGTTTTTCACATCCCTCAGACAGAGTCACAAACTTGTCAACTTGAGTATCATTTTACCTCTAGTTTTTGCTCTTGCTGGATTGAGTTCATTGTGGAGCTGACTAATCCACTCACTTGCAAGGAAATTCTCAGAGCAAGCTACTGACTTGCCCCCTTAAAGTTACCTTTGAAGCTAGCCATCAAGTTTGTGGCCCTCCCCTCTGTCCTAGCCCTAACACCCCAGTCAACAGATTGGCTAGCTGGAGGGAGAGACGGAGTTAGGAGCTTGTCCAGGGCTGACTCATGAGGTCAGACTCAATTTCCCATGCTGTTCATTTGAGTGGTGAAGCAGAGATCAAGTGTACTCTGCATCAGATTTACCCCAGTTCCGTCTAATTGGGCATCTGAGGGGCAGCATGCCAATCCAGGCCACGACTATAGCACTGGGACCCTGCTGGGACAGTCTGTTGGCAGTGAATTGTTTTTGCAATCTCTCAATGATGCTCCAGATCCTGCTCCCCTGCAGTTGCTTTCATCTTCCGTTCCCTGCCGAGTCTGGGGGATAATTCAGAAAACTCTCAAGGGAGGGATGTGCATAGCCCACTACCAAGCCAGTTTACAATTCATACCAATAGCTTCCCGTCTTCAAGAACGTTCCTCTTGATGGGCTTTCGCATGCCTGGGGTGATTTAAAGACTTTCCCCCAACCCCATACCTCCATCGAGTGGTGAAGCAGAGATCAAGTGTACTCTGCATGAGATTTACCCCAGTTCCGTCTAATTGGGCATCTGAGGGGCAGCGTGCCAATCCAGGCCATGACTATAGCCCTGGGACCCTGCCGGGACAGTCTGTTGGGGACAGACACTTGATCTCTGCTTCACCACTCAAATGGAGTCCTCCCCCCACCCCACCACCAGAAAAAGAGCTCTTGCAACCAATAACCTTTAGGTAGAAAATCCTACTTTCTTTCAGTTCACACCATCCAGTCTCACCTCTTCTTTGTGCTCCCTTTCCACACCTGCTGAGGGTTTGCTGGCCCCACAGTGATGCCTGCTGGCTCTCCCGTACCCACAACTCAGCCTCACTCTGGGAATAGCTCACAAGAGCACAGCCCAGATGGATTGGGACAGTTTGGAAAACTACGGCTGAGGGGACCATAGCTGACCTGCTGACTATTTTTCTATGGCTTACAAGCTAAGAATTGTCTCTACATTGACGAAGTTAAAAGAGATTTTTTCTGACAAGTGACAATTAAATGAAATTCAAATTTCAGTGTCCATTAAACAAAGTGTTTTTCAAGGACAGCCACTCCCGTTCATTGATATGTTGTCAGCCTGCACACTCCATCTTAGTGCTGAGTCCTTGCCACGGAGACCACACGGTCCACAGAGCCCTGTGTTACCCGGCCCTTTACAGCAACAATCGGCCCACTGCTGAATTAGACAGTTGCACAGATTTTGATGGAAAAAGAAGAGAAGAAAGAGGCTGGTCCGCACTCACTTTAGGGACAGGTCCCCAGCTGTGGTTTGAAGGCTGTCAGAGGAAAGGACAAGGTCCAGTGTGGGAGTGGGGAGAAAATAATAATTGAGTGGAAGTGTCTCTGGAGCCTTTGAAGATAAAATGGGATGGATGGTGGCACCTCTAGCCTGGGTAGGAGAAGTTGAGTTTATGGCTAGCAAGAGAACATAGGAGATGTGTCGTTCTAGCAGACCTGTGGGTGAGATGAATTGGGGAAAGGTGTTTCTGCTACTTGAAGTGCCTGGTTCGAGATTCACATGTGCATGCACTAACATGCATGAGCTCTCGGGAGACATAGACAGTGTGCAAATTCACGTGTCAGGTAAAGCTACCAAAATGTAGGGAGTTTTAGGTCCAGGAAAGTCTCTTGTTCAAAACTATGATCTCTTGCGACTGTATGAGTTCACGCTACGTAAGTTATAAAGATATTTATCACCAAAGTCTTTCCTTGTGAGAAATTGGGACTCCCTGGTTTTATTTGTAGGATAGGTGCTGTATCCTCAAAAAAGCCAAACAATATCTTGGCTGGTGAGATTTACTATTCAGAATCTCGAGATGTTTGGTCGCACATAATTGCTTCTTTTGCTTTTCAACCTCTAACCCCGGAGCTGCTGTGTGGAGTTTTAGACTTTTATTTTGAGCAGACACTCCTGTCAATTCATTTTAAGTAAATACCACAATTTACAAGCCCAGAATCGGTTCTCCTCCTCAGGGATACTGACAGAAAGGAGAGAGAGGCTTTTTGGTCCTTTCCAAGCAGAGCCTCAAATGCTGTATTTTGAAAACAGAAAATAAGTAAGAATGAAATGGCACCTAGCCTACAGACAATGCATTAGGAGATTTGGGGTGAGGCTGAGCCTGGGTGGTTTGTGTTGGGGTACTAGGGTTGTCTGCGGCCTATTTTCAAAAGGTTGTGGTGAGAGGTGGTTTTCTTAGGATCATTGCAAATCGTCAACTGAACAATTGACATGAGCACTGGCTGATCGAATTTATTGTGCTGAAGGAAGCAAGAAGATAGATGCAGGGGGCCAGGGGGTGGGGGCGGGAATAAGGAAAAAAACTGACTTCTAAAACTCAATCCATTAGGATCTATCCACGTTTGGTCAAATGCATTTCTGGAATTCTCAACCGAATTATTATTTTTTTATGTTTGGAAATTTAGTATATATTGCTAAAGATTTAAATATAAGGTATAACATTTCAATATTATCTGTTAGAGTTAACATCTTGGTAGACTGGGTTCTACCAAGCAATAATTCTTATATTACGTTTTTCTAACAAGTTAAATGTAAGGTATGGCTAAGACCTACAGAATTGCATAGATAAGAAGTATGCTTTGAATCCAAATGAACCACAATTCATGTTTATCTTTGGAATATATTAGTATTATTTGGATAGCCTGCAGTTTACTCTTATGAATAAATCAGAAAGCACATTGTGTAGTTAGATTAGTTTTATTCTTTAAACATAATCCTAAAATGGGTTGTTATTTCTGTCACCCACCACCCATTACTGAACTGGGCATTGAACTTCAGAAGGCCATCCAGAGACTATATCCCCAAGGCATAAAGGGACTACAGAATAGGTCAAAAATCACTGTGAACTGTAGTAAACTCCGCTAGGTGTCTGTTGTAGAGTAATTGTTCGTGTGCTCTGTGAGCGGAATAGTGGAGCCAAGTACAGGGAGAAATAACATTTTGCCAGAGAATGCAAGGAGGGAAACTAAATGCTAATTGAGGATTGTTGCTATTGTCTCCTGAATGTGGGCTGTCCAGACATCCGCTCTGAATAACATAAACAAACGCACCCACAGAATAAATCCACCAACACCAGGTGCCAACCCTCAGTGAACTCTCTGATATCTGGGTGGTGAGCAATGCCGGAAATGGCGATTACAACTTGTTTATTTTGTCTGTGTGGTCTTGACCTCCAGTTGCATTTCAGAATCATGAGGACTCGATTTCTAGGACCGTGTGGGGCTGAGTGACCTGCCATGTGCCACAAGTCAAAACAGTTTTCTTTTCCCTCTATTTCACTGGGGCCCTTCTATTTTTCCTCTTTAATTGGTTGGGTAAAGAAATAGGTTCTTGTGATGTTAATAAGGAAATGAATCTTTACTCAAGGTAAAACGAGCCGTGCAACAATCTGATGTGCTGATTAAGTGATTGTCATCAGAAGTAGACAGGGTCACAGTCCAAGAGGGAAAGAGCTTGAGAGCTACAGGGAACAAGACGGGAAGGAAGTGACTATCAAAATCAACCAACTTCAGACTGAGTACAGCAGCTTCTGCATCTCATTCCAGTTTCATTCTAAGTTATGGAAGCATTTTTCTTGTAGCTTTTATCCTTGAACATTCAAGCTTTCACGACTCCACAATGAGATCAGGTTGAGATGAAATTAGCCACTGTGGAGCCATCCTTACCACCAGGTCTGTGGGAGCAGCTAATTCTCGGATTGGCTAATTAAGCTATTCCTCTGGGGGCTCTTATTAGAACGTATGCTAGGAGCTCCATTCTTTTTTGAAGTGAACACCTAAAGGGATGGTCTTTCACTGTCAAAGATTATGGAGAAACTTTTAGCGGAGTTACACTTCTGAATTTTTTCCCCACAGTTTGGCCAAAATGTGAGCCACCACATGCCCAGAAGTTCTCTTGGAGTCTGGGTCAGGCAGTCTACCCAAGTCTCCTACCCACACTCAGAACGAGGACCAGAAAGGTAGAAGTTACAGGAACACCTTTACAACTCACTCTAAGAAGTAAAATAAAATGAAAAGAGAAAAGTGCCTTACAAGTAATCAGATTCTCATCACTCAAAGTGTTGACCGTCTCAGCCTGGGTGTTGAAGAAGGGCTTTAAGCATCAGTTGGAAGATAGACTACAGAGACAGACATAGGCTCACCTTCACTTAATGGCTGGACCATTCTGTAGTTTAAATGGAAATTTTTTTCAGTAATTTTTCCTATGTGATTTAGTAGTATGTGCCCACCAAAAAAGAAAAGGGGGGCGGGGTGCCTAGGTGGCTCAATCAGTTAAGCATCCAATTCTTGATCTCAGCTCAGGTCTTGATCTCAGGGTTGTGAGTTCAAGCCCTGTGTTGGATTCCATGCTGGGTGTGGAGCCTACTTTAAAAAAAAAAAAAAAAGGAAGAAGAAAAGAGGGAAAGGAGCCTCGATGTTTTAGTTCTGTGGGGAGACAGTGACTTCGAGCATTCATGTACCATACCTTTACTGTTTTAGAGGATCCTATTGATATACTAGCCTGTTGCCCACAGTGCTGAGGCCAGACCCAGCAAGTAAATAGCTTAGTATGAAGTGTTACTGACTTCACAAGAGCACAGAACTAAAACAGTTTGGAACTCTTAGGACAAAAACCCATGGGTGAGTGTTAGCGTGAAGAAGATTCTACACTCAAAGGAAAACATAGAGGAATAAGAGCTGTTGAA